GCATGTGCTCGCCAGAGAGACAGAGAGACAGAAAGCGAGAAATCACCCCCCCCCGGGGGGGATGGCCACGCCGCAATCCCTTCTCTTCCATTCTCCTCTAGGGATCTTGGGCACGCACGCACATGCGCCCAGCGTGAGTTTTAAGCCACCGGGTCTGGGACACGAACCACGGTCGACTACATGAGAGTCCAGTGACATAGACATTACGCTAACTGCTGGTCCCTATAGTGTGCAATTTTAACATGTGAAATGACTACTTTATTGTACTCTCTTGAAAAAATTAAATAACATTTATTTCAACTCTTTACCCTTTGCTGTTAACATTAATACCATTAGCATCACTAGAATCACTTTTTAAAAAAAATCATTGATAAAGTTTTCTGGTATGATTTCAACTCCAGTTGAAAAACAGCAATTTCTGAAACCAGAAATTGTTAGGTCATTGGAAAAGTCATGACGCATTTTTGCATAGAAATACATAGAGAAAAACATCATGACTTTTCTGATGACCCAATACCTCTGAAATGTTATAACAAATTGCAAATATTCTCATACATAAATTTTGTTCATTTCTGATCTCCACAAGTAACCATATATTATAATTCTTTTTAAAGTGATCTTCTAGGGACTGGGACCAGGAGGTGGTGTGGTGGTTAAGTCCACTGGACTCCCACATGGCCAACTGTGTTTCAAGTCTTGGGCCTGGTGGCTTAAAAAACTTATGGTGGGCGCACGTGCATGCACGTGACAGAAAGCAGGAAATCACCCCCCAGGGGGGATGGCCATGCAGCAATCACTTCTCCTCCATTCTCCTCTTGGGATCTTGGGCACGCACGCACACGCGCCCAGGGTGAGTTTTAAGCCACCGCGTCCGGGACTCGAACCGTGGTCAACTACGTGGGAGTCCAGCAACATAGCCGTTATGCTAACTGCTGGTCCCCTATGTATAATGTTCTCATAATCTGAATATTACATAAAATTTTTGAAGATAGTTAATATATCACCTACTTTAAGCATTCATTACTGTTCTAAATTTTCTTTACCTCCAGTAAATCCCTCATGATCAGTATAAGGTCTTCTCTCCTTTATGAGAAAAAAAATAACCTTTAAAGAGAACACTCTGGGGACCAGCAGCTGATGTAGTAGTTAAGGCGCTGGACTCCTACATGGCTGACTGCCATTCAAGTCCCAGACCTGGTGGCTTGAAACTCATGCAAGGCGCATGTGTGTGCAAGCCCCAAATCCTGAAGGGGTGATTTCTCACTTTCTCTCTGTCTCCGGTGAGCACATGTGCCCTATAGCAAAAAATGTCTCTTAAAAAAAGAATGACACTTGATTCTACTCTCCTTGCCCAAATAAATGAATTTTTTGACTCTTTCATCTGCTCTTATATTTTTCCCTTTGGTCTTAGTCTGTCTTAGTCCACTTTTCTGTTGATAAGTCCACTTTTCTGCACTTTTCTACTGCACTAGATAACTTATAAAGAATAGAAGATCACTTAGGTTACAGTCTTGGAGGCTTAAGGTTAAGGGGTTACATCTGCCGAGGGTGGGTGGGTTGGTTGGTTTCTTTCTTTCTTTCTCTCTCTCTCTCTCTCTCTCTCTCTTTCTTTCTTTAAGGTTTTTGTCATAGGATCCATGCACTCACCAGATGGAGACAGAGAGTGAGAAAGTGAGAAATCCCCCCACAGGGGGGTGTGGGGAGGGGGATAGCCATTACACAACCCGTTCTCCTCCACTCTCCTCCTGAGATTTTGGGCACACACGCACACAAACTCAGCATGATTTTCAAGCCACCGGGGCTGGGACTAGAACCACAGTCAGCCATGTAGGAATCCAGTACCTTAACCACCACAGCCCTGGGTGAACTCCTCTTAGTGCTCTGCAGTCCTGAGGTAGTACAGAGTATCTCAGGGAACAGTTTGTATACCTGTCTCTTGTGTGTCTGTTCTCATAAGGCCACCAGAAAGCACTGGGGTGAGGAGGGGGACCCTGATGACTTTCTCTAATCCTAATTGCATCCCAAAGTCTCACCTTTTAATATTATAACTGCATTAACTAGACATCATATTATTTCACCATTAAATTCTTCAGTGTTAATGTAAAAAAGGACTTTTAGATAACACACAATGCCATTAATGTTAATTTTTAAATGTATCAGCACTTACTTTTGAGCAATCATGTCAACAATAGAGTATAAATAGTCTTCATTACTCTAGAAATGAGAGAAAACATTTTACTGAAACTAAGTATGCCTCGTGGCTTTATTAACACCACATTTTTGCCTCATTCAAATCTAATTAACACGTAGAACATCATTTTGTCCTAATAATTTCTAGTATTTTTATCAAAGAATTAGAAAGAGCCACATACTTTAAAAATCTGATTTGAGGGATCAGCAGTTGGCATAATGGCTGTGTCGCTGGACTCCCATGGAGGCGACCACGGTTCAAGTCCCAGACCCAGCGGCTTAGACTCACGCTGGGCACATGTGCATGCGTGCCCAAAAGCCCGAGAGGAGAATGGAGGAGAAGGGATTGCGGCGTGGCCACCCCCCTAGGGGGGGGTTTCTCTCTGTCTCTCTGTCTCTCTGTCTCTCTGTCTCTCTGTCTCTCTGTCTCTCTGTCTCTCTGTCTCTCTGTCTCTCTGTCTCTCTGTCTCTCTGTCTCTCTGTCTCTCTGTCTCTCTGTCTCTCTGTCTCTCTGTCTCTCTGTCTCTCTGTCTCTCTGTCTCTCTGTCTCTCTGTCTCTCTGTCTCTCTGTCTCTCTGTCTCTCTGTCTCTCTGTCTCTCTGTCTCTCTGTCTCTCTGTCTCTCTCTGTCTTTCTGGTGAGCACACATGCCCTATAGCAAAAACCTCTTAAAAGTGGATTTGAATACTGAAACTGTTTTCTCCCTTTGCCACAATATGAAATATTACTATACAACATTTACACTTAAAGATTAGTATACAAATTCTTATTTAGCCCAAAATGTTTGCCTCTAAATGTGGTCATTTTGTAAAATCTTATTTCAGAAGATGACTCCTTTCGAAAATGTCTTCATTTTATGAGTATTGGATGACATTTTTCCCAGACAGTATTACTCAGTTCGATTCCCAAGTTTTCTTCTATTAATAACCTTTGGGGACCTGCTCTTTTTCACTGGACTGTGTTCCAGGTGAGATGACAGACTCATTTGTAAAAAGCTTTTGATAATGTACCCTTTAAAGATGATTTTTTTTTTCAATAACTGATGGTATTTACAAGATGTGGCCTTGGGGTCCATAAGCATTTCCAACATAAAATCCTAAAATGTTTTGCAAAATGACAGTTCTATTACCAAGCCTGAGTACTTCGGGGGCAACTCTGAATGTATTTAGTGAGGCTGATCTTTAGACATATCAGGCTCTGTAGACAAGTCTACTGTGCTACTTACGGATCTTAAGGTAGCCATGGGTGGACTCGCCTGCTATTTGTCACACACCAATATGTTTATATTTTAAACATAGCACTACAGTTATGCTTCTTAGGCGTTCCTTATTTCACTTTTATATTTTGCCCCAATATTTTATTATTAAACATTTCAGAGAGATGTACACTGTGCTGCCGACAAAAATTATAATACATAAAATAAGGTCCATGACAAAATATTCTGGCTATTCAGTGTATGCTTCCTGTATTAAGAAATTAAATTGGCCTAGAAGGGCTTTTTATATTTTTACTTACATTTCCCTAATAGTTCTTTTACTACTTGTGTTTTTCAGGGTTTGTTATTTTTTTCCTGCATTCAAATGCCTTTTTTTTTTTTTTTTGTAGAGGTTTTTGCCTTAGGGTAATGCAGTGAGAGGAAAAGTAAGAAATCAGCCCCCAGGAGGGATAGCCACGCAGCAATCCCTTCTCCTCCATTCTCCTCCTGGGATCTTGGGCACACGTGCACACATGCCTAGTGTGAGTATTAAGCCACCGGGTCTGGGACTTGAACTACATTCAGCCATGTGGGAGTCCAGTGACATAACTACTACACCATCTGCTGGTTCCTTCAAATGCATCTTTATTGTGAAAATTCAAGCAATAAAAATAAAAGGAAGAAAGGAAGAAAGGAAGAGAGGAAGAGAGGAAGAGAGGAAGAGAGGAAGAGAGGAAGAGAGGAAGAGAGGAAGAGAGGAAGAAAGAAAGAAAGAAAGAAAGAAAGAAAGGAAGAGAGGAAGAGAGGAAGAGAGGAAGAAAGAAAGAAAGAAAGAAAGAAAGAAAGAAAGAAAGAAAGAAAGAAAGAAAGAAAGAAAGAAAGAAAGAAAGAAAGAAAGAAAAGCAAAGATTCCTCTAACTCCCCGCATTTGGGCCTCGTCATTATCTACATTTGGAGACCAGCATTCCAAGGTTTGCTCATTCTCTCTCTTTCTTCTCTCTGTCTGTCTTTCCCCATTTTACCCTCCCTCCTCCCCTTCTATCCTTCTTTTCTTTCTTATTTTATGTAGATAGCATTATTGTTAAATGTGATGCTTTACAACTTCTTTTTTCATTCAACAATATGACACTAACATCATTTGGAGGTAGGAGACAGGGACCTAAGAATATAGTTTAGGATATAGGCCCAAAATGGAGTCACAAAACAGCTAAGTTTCTTTCTTTTCTTCCTTTTTTTTTTTTTTTGTTTGTTTTTTGTTTGTTTGTTTTGGAGAAGTTTTTGCTGTAGGGCGCGTGCACTCGCCAGAAAGAGACAGAGAGACAGAAAGCGAGAAATCACTCCCATGGGGATGGCCACACCACAATCCCTTCTCCTCCATTCTCCTCTCAGGATCTTGGGCACACACGCACATGCGCCTGACATGAGTTTAAGCCACCGGGTCCAGGACTCAAACTGAGGTCGACTACATGGGAGTCCAGGGAGTCCAGTGACATCGCCATTACACCATCTCCCCACACAATGGCCAAGTTTTAAGATGGAGACACAACAGCTCAGCAGCAGCTCAGCTCTCACTGAACTGCTTGCTCACAAGAAACGGCTTACAGCAATGACTCAGTGATAGACCTAAAGCAGAAAAGGCTTTTTTTTTTTTTTTTTCAGGTCCCACCACATTCCAGGAAGAAGGTAATAGTCTTTTATGGCCCAAAGCTTTTACACAAAGAGAGTCTCATGACCTTTGTACCAACTCTAAAATTAGAAAAAAATAACTGGATCCATCTAGCATGTTCCTCCCACCCACCTCGAGGGGAATGCATACATAAGCCCCTCCTGAGAAGAAGCTCAAACAAAGCTCCTCTGACTAAGATAAAACCTCCTTGCCTCAGTTTATCTTTGGAAACGCATTCGGGATCCACTCCCTGCTTGGGAGCTCTGTTCTTCCTTTCTTCTCTTAATAAACTCTGGTTTGCTATGCCCCCTCTGTGGCCACATCTCTAATCATTCGTGAGTGTGAGGCAGAGAACCAGGTTTGCTGCTGTTCCTGCACTGGGTATTGGGCCTATGCACCCCAACTTCCTGCATCAATTTTGTATTAGTGACATAGATAACTCATTCTACTTTCTCTCTAAAAATTTGGTCAAAGGGCACGTGCACTTGCCAGAGAAAGAGAGAGAGAAGTGAGAGGAGCACCTGCATGGAGGATTGTCATGCTGAAACCCTCTCCCCTTCATTTCTTCCTCCTTTGGGGATTTGGAGCACCAACACACACAACCAATGTGTTTTTCAAGTGTCCAGGTATGGGACTCAAACCAAATAGTTGGCCATGTGGGATCCAACCTCTTTAACCACCACACCACCCACACCACCCACCACACCACGGGGTGGCCCGCATTCTCCTTTCAGTGCTATAGAGTATCACATTGTGGAGATACATAATGAAGTATTCAACCAGCCTCCTATGGATATTTTGGTTGTTTCCAATATTATACTTGCATAAAGCAATACTGCACTGAGAATCCTTGAAATAATTATTCATTAAACACTGACTCTGTGCCATGCATCATTATAAGCACTTTAAATGTATTAGCTGGTTCATTCCCACAACGCTATGACATGGGGTCTGGGCAATATTATCAACTGTACTTACGGATAAGGAAAAAAAGGCACAGAGAACTTACGTGAGCTGCTCAAGTTCGCAAGTCCAAGGTGGAGAAGCTGGCATTTGAACCTTGGCGACCTGGGCCAGCTGGTAGTGTGGAAGTTAAGGCAGTTGGATCTCATGTGGCCGACTGTAGAGTCACACTGGACACATGTGTGTGCCCAAAATCCTGAAGGGAGATGAAGGAGAAGCGACTGTGGCATGGCTATCCTCCCCTGCCCCCCCCCCCAGGAAGTGATTTCTCACTTTCCCTCTCTCTCTCTGTCTCTCTCCAGCAAGTAAATGTACACTATAGCAAAAACTAAAAAGAAGAAAAAGAAAGAACCTTGGCAATCTACATCCAGAGTCTGTGTCCCTAATCATGCTATGCTGTCACGATTTTATTTTTTATTTATTTTTTGGAGAGATTTTTTTTGCTATAGGGCATGTGCACTCACCAGAGAGACAGAGATAGAGAAAATGAGAAATCACTCCCCCAGGAGGATTTCTGCTGGCCCCATGTTTTTATTATTTTTAAACACTTGTCTGATATCTCCTTAAGATAAGGTTCCAGAATTTGGATTTCTGAGACAAAAAATAAATACATGCTGAATCTGAGACATGTTGTCAAACTTCCCTCCACGGTTTGAAGATGTCATGTTTACACAGTACTTAATAGTTCTATGTGGTGTGAGCAAAATAGAAACCTTCAGAGTCATCACACAGACCTAGATTTGAATCTGCTCTTTTAATAATTGTGTAAGGTACTTTCTTTTAAACTCTAGTTCCTTTCTCTGTTCAGGACTGTGGGGTCAGTGTATTGTACAGCAGTTATGTCACTGGGCTCACACATGGCCAATCACAGCTCGAGTCTGGGACCTGGTGGCCTGAAAAATCACACCAGGAGCATGTGCATGCGTGCCCAAGATCTCAGGAAGAGAATGGAAGAGAAGGATCGTGGCATGGCCATCCCCTGGGGGGGAAGGGTGGGGGCATGGCCATCCCCTGGGGGGGGGGGGTGTGATTTCTCACTTTCACTCTCACTGCCTCTATCTCTCTGTCTCTCTTGGGAGCACCTATGCCCTAAGGCAAAAACTTCTTTAAAAAATCAGGACAGTAATACCTACTCTACATAGGTATAATACAGGTTATAAACAATGTCTTGAGAAGTTGTCCACAATCCCTCAGGTATAGAAAGGAGTCCCTCAATTCATAGCAACTATTAAGACAACATACATCACTAAACTTTCATTGGGCTGGGCATGTTTTACTACCATGTTATGGTGTATTTATACATACAATTTCTGTACCGTATGGTAGGCAAGGATCCTACATTAAATGCTATTCAGGGCTGGCCCCATAGCATGGCAGCTAAGCCCTGTCTACAGGAAGCCAGGTCACACACGGCCAACCGTGATTCAAATACTAGCCCCATTGGCTTGAAAAACATGCTAGGCACGTGTGCACACATGCCCCAAAGTCTGACAGGATGGAGAAATGGAGGAGAAGGAAACATGACGTGACCATACCCCACCAGGGGGTTTTCTCCCTCTCTGGTGAACGCACACATCCTCTGGCAATCAAACAGGTGCGGTTCAGATTTGGCCATCTTGGCCCAGCTGCAGTCGCACAGTGGCGGCAGGCTGTTTCCACTACGTGGAAGATTGGAGTTCGGTTCTCGTGTTGGCCTGTACATGCTAAACACATGCCCACATGCCTGTGATCCTGGCTGCCTAGGAAGGTTTGGGGGAGGACTGCTGTGCGAGACTCTATTGAAGGTGCCACTCACTCTCTCTCAGTCCTTCTGTTTCTCTCTTACAAAAAAAAAAAAAAAAAGGTAAAAAAAAAAAGTAGTAATTTTATATCTACTACATTAAGCCATAATATTTTCTTTTTGGATTTACATATATAACCCATTCTCACTGGTACCATACAAGTATCAAGCATGTGATATGCTATCCAAAAAAGGTATCTATGGATTGTTTTTCAAATTTTTCAAAATAGTACAGTGACTACCACCGAGGAAGGACCTAGAGCAAGAGCAAGGGAGCTTTGTACTTTTTATACGTACATCTGCAACCGAGACAATAACCACCGAGTCCTTCTCTTCCGCAGGAGTCATCCCAGAGACCACGGTGCTCAGGGTCTGCATCAGGTAACTGTGACTTCTTCTGTTGGCAATGGAAATGCCCAGTGCAAAGGAAACTGCAGACATGGGAGGAAAACTAACCTTAGCCCCGAGTCTGTGCCCACTTTTGTATCTGAGTAGGGCTCGTGGCCATGAAAGGTGTTCACAGCTGTACTGCACAATCAGTTACGAATTTGACTAATGTATCTGAGGAAGGTATGAAGAATGGACTGACTGGTAATACTACAGTCAGGAGAAGAATTGCAAGCCTATTTTACTAGAATAGTAAGCAATGATGAAGAGCTTGATCAAATGGGTCAGTCCCATGGTCTGGTGGTTGGGGAGCTGCATCCCACATGGCCAACTGCATGAATCCCAGCCTCAAGGCCACGGACATGTGTGTAGGTGCCCCAAATCCCAACAAGATGGAGAAATGAAGGAGGAGGGATTATGACATGGCCATGCCCCACTGGAGAGATGCTTTATGACATGACCACACCCTACTGGAGAGGTGCTTTCTCCTTCTCCCTCTTGGTCCCTTTGTCTCTCTTTGACATGCACCCTCTGGCAAATTAAAAAAAAAAAAAAAAAAGGGTAGTTACAGAGAGAAAAAATTACCTGAGGTACACCAACAGTATTAAATGAGTAAGACTGATGATAAACTCCCAGGAGGCCATGCCACAGGCTAAAATATTTTTGCATATATTTTATGTTAGGATCTTTCAGTTGCCAGGTACAAAGTCTCCCTTAAGTTGCTGCTGATAACTGAGAAAAGCCACCGAAGGTGTCTCAAAAGGAGGATGATTAGGGGCTAATAGATGTCAGGGTGGTTAAGGCTCTGGATTCCCACATGGTCGACCTCGGTTTGAGTCCTGGACCTGGCAGCTCAAATATCGAGTGTGCATGAGTGGCCAAAATTCCAGGAGGAGAATGGAGGAAAAGGGACTGTGGTATGGTCATTCCCACTTGGGGTGATTTCTCACTTTCCTATTCCCTGTCTCTCTCTGGTAATGCCCTACGGGGGGAAAAAAGGATAAATATTAATACATACATCATGGTTGGATATCAGGAAATAGTTGAGACATTAGAAAATTATTCAGGACTTAAAAGAGCTTGGAAAACAGTTACCTCAACACTTAGAGCTCCTGCGGCAGGGGTTCTATGGCTCCTTCCCACTCCAGCACCTCCTTCCCACCTTCCTTCATTCTGCCTTGGGCTTCCACTTATATCTGTAGATGTTTACCCAAAGCTGTGTTTATTCTTGCTATCTAATATCTAATAGTTTCTATGCATTGGCTTTTCTTTTTTTCCTGTGTCATTCAGCTTCTCTTCTTCTTACAAACTATATCTTTTGTCTAGCATGTACTCTGTCATACATTCATACACACGCACAATGCATGTATATCTATATATGTAGACACTACATTCTAAACACATGTAAGAGAGAATTGGATGCAGTTAAAGAATTTCATTAGGTATGAACTCAAAAAGTTCCAGGCCAGCAGGTGACGTGGAGGTTAAGGTGCTAGACCACACACAGCAGACTGAGTACCTCAAATCCCAGACCCTGCAGCTTGAAAAACATGCAGGGAGCATTTGCGTGCATGCCCCAAACCTCAAGATCAGAATGGAGGAGAAGGAACTGTGGTGCAGTCATCCCCTGAGGGATGATTTCTCGCTTTTGCCCTCTACCTTTCATTCTCCTCTTTCCAGTGAGTGCACGTGACGTATAGCAAACTAAAGTGGGGGGGGGGGAGAGGTTTCTTAATCTCTCTACGCCTCAATTTTCTGAGATGTAAAATAGAGATGATAATAACAAGCCCTACCGTATTGGGTTGTGAGGGTTAAATGAGATAATAATAGAAACCATAGAATTCAGGGTGTGGACCACAGTAAGAGATGAATAGATGTTAAACAATGTCATCTGGCACCCTCCTCCAGACATGACAGTCTTGGTTAATATGTCAGAGGCAGGTGACAGAGCAGGACTATTTCTTCTCAAGGGACTGCCTAGAGCAGGGATCAGCAAAAGCTTTTCTGTAAAGCGTCAAATAACAGAACATTTTTGGGTCTTGACCATACCGTCTCTGTTGCAGCTACTCAGCTCTGTCCTAGCACATGAGCAGATGCCAACAGTAAGTCAGTGAATGAGCCTGGCTTTATCCCAACAAAACTATATGGAAAACAGGAACCCAGGGGCCTGCCCTACAGTGGCACTCTCAGAGCAGTGAATGAGATTTTGAGGAATGGCGAACATCCTGACCCTTGGCTGAAATACATTCCTCCATAGAATTCAGGGTGTGGACCACAGTAAGAGATGAATAGATGTTAAACAATGTCATCTGGCACCCTCCTCCAGACATGACAGTCTTGGTTAATATGTCAGAGGCAGGTGACAGAGCAGGACTATTTCTTCTCAAGGGACTGCCTAGAGCAGGGATCAGCAAAAGCTTTTCTGTAAAGCGTCAAATAACAGAACATTTTTGGGTCTTGACCATACCGTCTCTGTTGCAGCTACTCAGCTCTGTCCTAGCACATGAGCAGATGCCAACAGTAAGTCAGTGAATGAGCCTGGCTTTATCCCAACAAAACTATATGGAAAACAGGAACCCAGGGGCCTGCCCTACAGTGGCACTCTCAGAGCAGTGAATGAGATTTTGAGGAATGGCGAACATCCTGACCCTTGGCTGAAATACAGTCCTGCTTCGAACACTGGTTTTTCTTGTCTTGTGTACCTAGGAAACGTGAACTCATTCTTCTAGGCTTAGCTTAAACATCATCTCTTCAGGAAAGTTTTTGCTAATCTTGTCTCCAGAAAGATAGGGAAGCAGGAAGATAACCAGGCAAGAAGAGATTTATCAAAACCCAGGAGAAAAGATCTACTAAGCACTGAGCAGAAGCTTTCTGTATAGCTGACATACTGACTTATTTTTAATGCACCCATATTAAAATTGAATTTGAATTTAAGTCACTGAATACTTATGGAGCTATTATTTTCCACCACATAACATACTCATTTCTAATCATCCAAATTAATGCCAGATAGACTGCTAGTCTACATATCAACCTGAGTATGATATTAATTGATTGCATTTTAAACTTAAAAGTATGTCTCTAAAGACCCAAATGGCTGTATTTAACTTTCCGATTCTAAATTTTCTTACCGCCTGTTTTCTCTTTGGCAAGGATTACATCAGGATAAAGCCTGCCTTCTTTCTTTAGATGAGGAAAAAATATCTTTAAATCTTCAAATGTATTATTAGGTACTGTTTCATTCTTCCTGAAGGCTTCAACTTCCTTCTCAACTGAAAGACAAAAAGAAAATAGGGAAATGAGATGACCATTGCAAATATTTCTCTTCTTCTGACACAAATTTTGCAAATGAGGATTAATAAATAAATTCACAGATTAATTTAGTATTCAATACATAAGAGAAATACTTTTCAATATGAATTATCAAATCAGAATGCTGCAAAATAAAGCTCAAAGATTACTGATTCATTATTTATTTATTAATTTATTTATTTGAGAGGTTTTTGCTATACAGTGCCTGTGTTCACCAGAGAGGCAGAAAGCGAGAAATCACCCCCCAGGGGGGATGGCCATGCCACAATCCCTTCTCCTCCATTCTCCTCTCGGGATCCTGGGCATAGAAAAACATGCACTCAGAGTGAGTGTAAGCCACCGGGTCCGGGACTCAAACTGTGGTCAACTACATGGGAATTCAGCAACATAGCCATTACGCTAACTGCAGGTGCTGATTCATACTTATTTTTTTTTAAAGCTCCATTTAATTTAAGCTTACATTCTGAGCTACACAACCAGAGGTCAATAGACCTGTCAGTTTCGAAGGAAGGAAAGAGAATAGGGACCAGCAGTTAGCGTAATGGCTATGTAGCTGGACTCCCATGTAGCCAACCATGGTTCAAGTCCTGGACCCAGTGGGTTAAACTCACGCCGGGTGTGTGTGCGTGCATGCCCAACATCCTGAGAGGAGAATGGAAGAGAAGGGATTGCGGCGTGGCCATCCCCCCGGGGTGATTTCTCACTTTCTATCTCTGTCTCTGTCTTTCTGGCAAGCACACTTGCCCTATAGCAAAAACCTCTCCAAAAAAAAAAAAAAAAAAAGGAAATAGAATGGAAACATTCTATAATTGGTTTCCTTTCACTACTTGGATTAATAACACTTCATTGAGATGGGTATCTTTAAAATTTGTTTTGTATCCTCTTAACATTTAATGACTTTATTTATTCGTTAGTGATAGAACAAGTGTGGGAGGAAGAAAAAATAGTTTTTTTTAAAAAAAAATTTTGATTTTAATTTTTGCTATAGGGTGTGTGAGCTCACCAGAGAGGAGAGAGAAGAGAGAGAGAGAAACACGGAGAGATCTGTGACAGATACAGGACGATCGATCAGCAGGATTGCTTATCATCTGACATGGAAGAGCCCCAGAGGGAGGGAAGTGGTCAGAGAAGATGTTGAGGGTTCTGGCTGTGTCGGGTGGCTGCACCATGGCCCATGGTAAAATTCAGAGACAGAACGCACAGGAAGAGCCCTCTCAGAGCGGAGATGGGGAGTGTACCAGCGACATCGCTCACCCGATTTCTGTAGGTCCCATGATACAAGGGCCAGCACTGATTCCGTTATGTTCATGGTGGGAGAGAAGAGGAAATGATCCCAAATCAGAGGGCATTAAATGTACATTTCGAAAACAAGACATAAAACAAACCACCATATGCAAAAATAATGACAACACAAACCTGAGCTTCTTAATACATTTTCTAGCTCTGGATACTTTATTTTATTTAAGACTTTCCTCAGGTCTTGGTGATTTTTCTCTGTTTTTTTCTTTAAATGGATCATGTTTTCTTTAAACTCCAACATATGGTTTCTACAATTAGTTAACCGATTATCTGAAAAGAAAACATGCATGTATAAGTTTATACATGTAGCAATGGTATAATACAATTTCTTACTATAGATAAAATAAATGTAAATTAGAACCAGCATAAGGCATAGTGGTTACATCACTGGACTCCCACGGAGTTGACCATGGTTAAAGTCCCAGACCTGGCAGCTTAAAACTCAGTTCAGGTGTGTGTGCACATGAGCCCAAAATCCCAAGAGGAGAATAGAGAAGGGACTGAGGCATGCCCTCCCCCAGGATGATTTCTCACTTTCTGTTTCTCTGTCTCTGTGTCTCTTCAGCAATCATCAGACTTCCATGTAGTCAACAGTGATTCGAGTCCCAGACCCAGTGGCTTAAACTCATGCTGGGCGTGTGTGTGAGTGCCCAAGATCCCGAGAAAAGAATGGAGGAGAAGGGATTGTGTTTTGGTCATCCCCCCTGGGAGGTGATTTCTCGCTTTCTGTCTCTCTGTCTCTCTCTGTCTTTCCAGCGAGCGCACATGCCCTATAGCAAAAACCTCTCAAAAAATTATTACTTTATTGGGAACCAGCAGTTAGCATAATGGCTATGTCACTGGACTCCCACATAGTCGACCACGGTTCGCGTCCTGGACCCGGTGGCTTAAAACTCATGCCGGGTGCGTGCGCGTGCGTGCCCAAGATCCTGAGAGGAGAATGGAGGAGAAGGGATTGCAGTGTGACCATCCCCCCTGGGGGGTGATTTCTCACTTTCTGTCTCTATGTCTCTCTCTGTCTGTCTGGCAAGCACACGCACCCTATAGCGAAAACCTCTACAAAAAAAATATTACTTTATTGAACTTTATTTATTTATGTATTTTAATTTGACTAGAGAGGGACAGAGTACGAGACAGAGAGAGACAAGGGAAGTGACAAAGCAAGCTGTCAGGTTCAGGACTCAAACCACTATCAGCCATGTGGGAGTCCAGCACCCCGATCATTGTGCCACCTGCTGGCCCCATGCCTAGTGTGTTTTTCAAGTCATGGTCCAGAACTCAAATGGCGCAGTGGGCCATGTGGGATCCAGCCACATTAACCTCCATGCCACTGGCTGGCCCTTACTTGTTTTAATAAAAAGGGAATGAAAGCTTTGCAGTCCCCAGCCTCCCAGAGAGATGTGTACCATTGACAGGGTTTTGCCATGCCCTGATCCTTCTCACTGACTCCCAGCTAACCAGGATCACACTGCAGCACATCTGGGGGGTTCAGGTCAGCTTGGGAGCTGAACTCAGGCCTCCCATGTGGCTCCAGTATCACACAGCAGTGCACCATGACAGTTGGGCCCCTAGCCTTCTTATTCACTTTATAACTTTTTAACATTTATTTATGACTTCTGTGAGACAGAGAGAGAGAGGAAACACCCTCAATATGATCTTGACACTGTGACCCACCCCCAGCCTCCAGTCAGTTCCAGATCATGGGTACATGTATATCCAGCATACTCAGGAAGGTCTCAGGACTTGAACCAGGGATCTTCCCATCTGGGATTGCCTCATAGAGCATCACATTTTACTGTTACCCCACTGTATGGACCCTCCTCTTTTATTTTTTTTTCCTGAATCAGTTATCACTACTTGACTTCATATTATGTATTTAATGTTTTTGTCACTCTCCAGAGCTCACGAGAATATAAGCTTGAGAACAGTAAAATCTGTTTTTACCACTAAATTCCAAATGTCTGAAACAGTTACTGGCAGAGAGTTCTTATACAAACATATGCGGAATGAATGAACCAACAAGTTAATAAGATAAATGGACTTGTCAGGATAGGAACTGCTTCTAGTGATTCTTGAATCAAAAGAACCCATGTCCAGTGGTGGATACTATTTGAGAATGCTTCCAGAGATTACAGGAGATGCAGTCCCACCACTAGACGTCTCTGTTATTAGTGTTTCCCAGGTAATATTCTCTTTGCCAAATGGATCATGTGTTAGGAGTTGAAATGTCATGGGTGATGCAACATATCTGGGTTTCCACACTGTAGGTTACTCCCCAAGGGATCAATTTAGTCACCATGCAAAGAAAGTGTTTTCTCTAGAGGAAGCAATATTTACAGACAAAACCATACAGAAATGTTCAAGGACTTGAGCTCCAACATTAGATCTGCTTCTTGTGCATTCTTCCCTGACAATTCAATGTATCAATATCTTATTTAAAATACTTACTTTACTTGCTTATTCACTTCGGTCTTTAGTGAGGACAAAATGTTACAAAGTCACTTTGCAAAGGTTTGATATACACAACAATTAGATACTTTGAGTCAGTATCTTTTGTGTGGAAGGCAAACAGACTCCAGTTCAGGAGCCCGGCACAAGGACCTTCGGACTGCTTAGGGCAGGTCTCTGGCATCAGCTGTGAGCATCTATACAATACATAACCTCAGATCTTACTCCAGACCTACTGAATCAGAATAGGCATATGATTTATTTTTGTATGTGTGCTCACCCGAGGGAGACAGGGAAACAGAGACAGAGAGAGGGAGCAGTCACTCCCCACGGAGCACGGTCATGCTGCAACCCCTTCTCCTCCATTTCTCTAACCCGTCAGGATTTGGGCATATGAGCACACATGTCCAGTGTGGTTTTCAAGTTTCTGGAGCCAAGGCTCGATCTGTGGTCAGTCACATGGAATCAGACTCCCTTAACCACTAAGCCACAGGGTCAGCGTTTTAGTAAGATTCTCAGTCGACTGCTATGCACATTAAAATCTGAGAAGCACCATGTATAAGTCTTCCATTATTTTTATTATCACTGATATTTGTGGAGAGCTGTCAATTTGAAAACATGTGATTAAAACATGTGGCCTGCAGACACATGCAGATGTGCACTTCCCTGTAAGCTACTCTAGCCGGGCTATTGAGAAGCATCTACATACAAAAGCAGTAACTGCCTGTTGTCAATGGTTGTCTTCCTGTTGTTGCTGATACCCAATACCCCCGCCCCCTCCCATACTGGCCAGTATCCGACTAAGGGAAGGAAGTCTTGTGCGTTTATCAGATTGTCCCCAAAAAATGATCAGAGAAATTATATGGCACCAGTCATTGTCACATCTTCAGACGATTTACATCCAGAAACAACTGGCTTTGCATCCCAATTTCTCCTCCCTTATTCTCTTTGCACTTCCTTCTTCCCCATTCCTTTTGCATCCCTTTTGCCCCTTCCCCCATTTTCTGCCCTTTAAAAGAATAAACCTGAGGCTGGTCTGGTCGCAACTTCTCCATCAGAGAAGCTGTGCCCACCGAATCCTCGCTTTTCTATACTTGTGTGTCTTTCTGTGTTTGTTATTGTGTCTATTTCTAATCCACAGCTTTCCCCACTCAGAGAAACGTGTTCATGCCGAGCTGGTCCTGGCAGATAGTATCATAGTTCAGGCTTTATCGCTTTTAGCTGCATCATCATAATCACCTTTTCATTCGTCTCTCACCTCCAACTCACAACGAATCCTCGAGAAATACTACTCAAAGATTTAAGTGGTCTCCTGAATGCGTCCTGAACAAAGTCTAAAATTCCTGCCTTGGGAGGTAAGGTCCTAAACAACGTGGCCATGACCTGACTTGACTAGCTCATTTCACTGTCTCACCACCTCCAGGAAGGAGCAGCAAGCTCACATAGTCATTCTTTCTTCCGCTGAATATTTACCCTGTGCCTCTGGCTGTGCTGTGCCACAGGGAAAGAAGCATGAATAAAGCTGGGTGTCTGTTCTAAATTAACTGACAATCAGGCTGCAAGGGATGCGGGTAAGGAGCATATGTTTAAACAACTAATCACAGTATAGTTGTTCATTGGAATTCTCTTCAAAGTACCATATGCATAGGCAGGAAGAAATGATAAACTCTCTCTTTCTCTCTCTCCCTTTTCTTCTTCTTTTTTTTTTTTTGGCCATAGGGCATGTGTGGTCACCAGAGACAGAGACAGTGAGAGAGAAAGTGAGAAATCTCCCCCCAGAGGGAGGCATCCACACTGCAATCCCTTCTCCTCCATTCTTTGTCTGGGATCTTGGGCACACATGTAATGTGCCCAGAGTGATTTTCAAACCACCAGGTCTGGGACTTGAACTGTGGCTGGCCATGTGGGAGTCCAGTGACATAATCACTACATCATCTGCTAGCCTCAGGAATGAAGAACTCTCATGGAGAACTAAGGAGAGGGAGAGAGATGGAAAAGGCTGAGGAGGAGAGAGGATATCTGGGAATTTGAAGAATATATAGAATTTTACCGTAAGAAAAAGGCAGGAACAGGCATTCCAGATTAAGAGGACGACACCGTCAAAGCACGCAGTGTGAAATGCTCGGGTCTACTTAGGAGAACGTAAGTAAGTTGCTCAGGGAGTAAAAAGAAGAGCACAAGGCATGGTGTTAGGGCTTTGGGTGATGGTATGTCCCCCCAAAGTTTCATGTTTTGGAATTTGGTCTTAGTGGGCTGTGATTAGATGTCTCCCAAAAATTCGAGCATTGGGAATTGATTGTGTTGCAAAGATGTTAAGTGACAATTCCTTCCTGGCCCCAGGGTGGGGGTGTGATGATGTCAGTAAGGAGGGCCTCAATGATTGAGCTCTGGTAGGGTTAATAAATAGAGGGAATGAGACCTGCAGCAGGAAGAAAGCCACGTGGATATGGACCACATTCTGCTCTACTAAAAGCTCTTCCTCCCGCCATTCTGTGGTGTCTTTGGACTTTCTAACCACCAGAATCATGAGTTTTGTAACTAAACCTCTATTTTCTTTATAAAGAAACCAACCAATCTCGGGTATTTCTGTTAGCAATGCAATAGTCAACTAAGATAATGGTATTAAAGTATCAGTAGGCTACTTTGAATTTATCATTCATTTACTTGACCCCAATGTGGATCCAAAGAATGAGTATCTGGGGCAGTTAGTAGGAGATGACGGTTAAGAAGTAAAATATGTTTTTGGTTATTTTCTCCACGCACTTCTCCCAGTCTTCACCATTTTAGTAAATGATAATTCTGTTTTTCCAACAGTTTATACCAATGGTTCTAAACCCGGGGCAAGTAGCTTCAGTGGACATTAGTCTAAAGACATTGTTACGACTGGGGAGGAGGGTAGCTACTGGCAACTACTGGATCGAGTTCTTCTGAAAAAACGATCTAGTCCTGCGTAACACACTACAGGGTATAAGACAGCACCCATCTCCCCAAAATAAAAAGAATTAGCCCACCCAAAATGTCAATAGTGCTGATGCTGAAATTCCCTAGTTTAAGCCAAAAATTCTTGGAACACTCGATGGCTATTTTTTCTTCATAGACTGTATCTAATCATCACATAAATGTACAAGTGAGATCCTGTCGGTCCCCTGCACCAAGGCCTTTGGTGATACGCTTCTATTTTACTGAGAATAAATTACAGCGTCCTTACAAAGGTCTCCATGACACCAGCTCCAACTCTTCCTTGCTCAGGTTGACCTCCTGGCTGTTTCTCTCACAGATCAAGGGGATTCCACCTCAGGGCCTTTGCACACCCCTTTCCCTCTGCCTGAAAAATCTCTGCCCCAAGATGCCTACACGTTATGCTTCTCCACTTCTTTCAAGATTCTGCTCAAACAAGCTTTTTCAGAGTTGTTCTCTGGTAACACTACCTAGAGCAGTACTTCCCTGCCCTTGCCTTGTCCAACACCAACTATTATATAGTCAGCATATCATTATGCTCATTGCTCACCTGCCCTAAATGGAAGGTAAACTCTATTAATGAAGGGGGGGGGAGCTTTTTGTTGTTTACCCAGTACCAGCCTATGACATGAATAGCAAGGTAGTTAAAGGTAGCTGAAGCCCACATGCCTGACTGTGTGGTTTGAGTCCCAAACCCACTGGCTTGAAAGACAAGTCAGACACCTTTGTATGCATGCCCAAAATCCCAAAAGGAGAAACAGAACAGGAATTGTGGCATGGCAATCCCCCATGTGTGTGTGTGTGGGGGGGGGATTGTGTATGTGTGTGTGTTTTCTCCATGTCTCTGTCTCTGGGGCAAGCACACACACTCTCTCACTAATTAAAATAAATTCATAAAACATTGGCACTATCTTTGGTGCTTTATAAAAATCACTGCTCAGTAGAAACTCGGTATTAAGGCTGACTTTGCTTTTATTGATGTAAGACCATCTCATTATAGAATTTCCCAATTATATGAGAGCTAAGTTCCATAGAAAAATGAAAAACCTGATTTATCTGTTATTTTAAGAAAGTTTTATTTTCAATAACAGTAACTCATTTTATAACTTGAATATATGAACATATGCATTGAGGAACCAAACTTCTTCCTAGTCATAATTAGAAATCACACCAGAATGGCTGTATGTATCTCAAAGTGTATGGTTTCATTATAAGAATATTATATTGAATTGGACTTCCTCAGGCGACCATTCCAAATTACCTTGCAAAGTTACAATAAAAAGAAGTTTGTATTTTGCTTTTGAATGACAAGAAACTTTATTTTTGTATCAATGTGCTAATTTATTGTCCTAAAATAAATGAAAACACATTTAAATAATGTTCTTGACAGGAAAATAGAGGTTAAGTGTATAAAATGATTAAAGATGAGTAGAAGTTTTATAGTCAGATATATTATTATACTGCACGTCTATTTGAAACAAGTGGAAGAGAACGTAGATATTTTTCTGTACATGACGACAAAATTAAGTATTAATCAGAAGATTTAGAAGCCCTTTCCAAAACTGAACCTTAACCCTACTACTAAGATTACTTTCTGTTTACCTAAGTCCAAAATTTATCCAAAGATAAAAATAAAAAATCCGAGTTAAAGCAGCCCAAGGGCAATCTTGGAAAGCCGAATGAATATAATAGCTCACAGGCTCCTAAATAATTTTATTAAAAATTACTTAATTGTATTTATTATTGTTACTGTTTTAAATTTGCTATAGGGCATATGAGCGAGAGAAAGGAAGAGAAAACAAGCTGCCTGCTATAGGATTCAAACTGTGGTTGGCCATGTGGGGGCCCGACTCCTTAACCACCATGCCACCTGCTGGTCCTTAGGTCCCTAAATCTTAAATTAAAAAATTCAACTACATGAACACTAAAATGTTACACTATGGACAACTAGTGTTGAAATAGAAAATACAGGACACCCAATTAGATTTAAATTTTGGATAAATAAGAAATACATTTTCAGGCCAGCAGGTGGCGTGGTGGTTAAGGCCCTGGACTCCCACATGGCTAACCACAGTCCCTGACCTGGCAGTTTGCAGCTGTCTCACCTTCTCTGTTTCTCTCTGTGCACGTGTGAGAGAGATTGTCCCTGGTGAGCACATATCCCCTATAGCAAATTAAACAGTAATACTAATAAAATTAAATAATTATTTAAAAAATTAATTTCTAGAATAATTATGTTCCATACAAATATTTATTTAAAAAATTATCACTGGGCCAGCTGATGATACGATGATTAAGGGGACTGGATCCCTGCATGGTGGACAGTGGGCAGTTCTAGTCCCCAACTCTGCAGCATGAAAAACGCGAGGCACCTGTGCAACTGTGCCCAACATCTAGAAAGGAGAATTGGAAGAGAAAGATTGCAGGGTAACCACTCCCTATGGGGGCGCTTTTCTCTCTTTCTTTCTCTATTTCTGTCTCTCTCCATTGAGTGCACATGCTCTCTAATTAAATTTTTTAATTCATTGTTTATTTGAAAGTCAAACATAACGTGGAGTTTGTGTTTGCTTGCTAAATTGAAACTCCGGAGGACAATGACAAATTAAAAACCTTGACGTGTGTTGGAGCTGTACAACAAGCCACAGTTCATCTGGGAAGAGTTCTGGGGCTGGACCATTGCTCCTAACTGTCAGCCTGGACATGATCCGGAAGAACAGAAATGGGGAAGGGGGTGGAAAGTGGGGCACAGATTGGGCCCTTGGAAGGGAAAGGGACCCAAAGAGGCGAACTAGGGGTGGGTCCGTTAGCGCGCGCGCCTGGGCGAGGCGGGGCCTCCCGAGAGAGGACCAGGGCGCCGGTTACAGCTTAACCGCCTGCCAGACAAGGACGTGGGCCATTTATTGCATTTGTAAATGACCACCCCTGGTATCTTCTTTGGAGAATAGGTGACTACTGTCAGGTTCCCACGTCACGCCCCTATTCTCTGACCCGACTACTCTGCAGTCCTGGAGCCCCAGAACGGGAGAGGCAGACGTGAAGGAGGCTGGAGAAGCCTCCATCTGCTTACTGATTCGAGTCATCCTCCAGATGCAGAAGCAGGAGAAGTTGAAGAGCATGATCGTAGTGATGCTGATCAGCAGGTTCACGTGCTTGGTCTTCATGTCGCGGCAGGGGAGCCCACAGCCGAGAGTCCCAAAGACTCAAATGCAGAGCACGTGTCTCGGTCGCTCCTTGGTCGCGTGCGCCTGCGCCCACTCCCACTCCCGGCGCTGTTTCTCGGGGCTGGAGTACACCCTTAGAAACACCCTTCTCACAGAACTTCTGCACCTTTTGCTTCCTGCCCTACGGTTCAGCCCATCCTATAACTCATTTGCTGGTTCTCATTTGCTGGGTATGCCAATAGTTAAATGCACTCAACGACCGGAAAGTGCTCCACTTCCTGCTTGATAGCTGTTTATTTTGTGGCATCAGCTTATCAACCTGAGGCTGGGAAAAAGCAGAGCACGGGTAGGATGAGACTCTTTGGGATCCGTGGTCTGACTTACTGTCCATTCTGATCTCTCTCATGTGGGGCTCACTAGCAGTGTCTGGGTCTAAGCCTTCTAACCTCCAACCAGCACTGGCAGGCCTAGCTCCCAGCACTCTGAGAGGAGAGAGAGACCGGAACACATGCCAGCCTGCGGATCGCACCATCAGCCTCTACCTTCTCCCGAGCCAATGGCCAGGAGTTGTGACCCAGATTCCAAACGAGGGAGCAGGGAGAAAGGAAGACCCTAACTTTGTTCTCCATCCTCCCAGCCTCTTGCTGGTGCTTGCCAATAGCTAAGGGATACGAGAAGCAGGAGGGAAGAGGTTCAACCTGAGGCACTGGATCAGACAAACCTGCTTCCTGGTGCTCTAGGAAGTCCCAGAGCAGACACAGGGTGGGACTAGGAAGATGGCCAGCAATCAAGTCAGTTTTCATTGTCCTCTTACAGTTCCACCATTCCACTACCTTTCCAGAACTTCTGCTTCCATGTCCCATGTCAAATTCAAGATGTCCCAACCTCCTTATCAAACTAGCAGTCTTGCCAGAGTCCTTTGGTCTTACCAATGACGCTGGTTCTTTTATGATCCACGTGACTGTCTCATTACATCCTGTCATTCATCAAATCCTTACGGACCTCCTTTGCATTGTCGCATTTCCAGACTTGCATTCCATTTGCTAGCTACTAACTCAATGCCCAAATTATCACCATGATACTCAAACCAGATGCACTGCAGCATCTACCCTCTGCCTTCCAGCTTGCCTCCAACACCGATGCTCTTCCTGTCACTCCCCAGCTGTGACTCTTGTTGGAGTTGCTCCAATTTTCCTAGGTGCCCTGCTGCTTTCTTGCTATTTCCCACAGTTCCCTACAGGCCTCTGGGACCTGCCAGACCTTTTTCTTTTTCTTTTTTATTCTATCCCACACATGTTATATTCATGCCTCTCTCTGTCCGCCTATTCTCTGGATGCCCACACTCTGCCACGATGTCTAGCATCCTGATCGCTCACATCTTTCTCACATCTCAAGGTCTCATGTTTAATCTGTCTACTGAACCCAAACCCAACTATGGCGGGCAGCTCTGATATCCGTTCCCGGAATCCCTTCACTACATAGCGCCTCTTCCTTTCACTGTGATACACCTCCCTTCGTACTTGGGGGAAGAGGCTGCCAACGAATAGACGTTATACCCATGGGAATGACTGATAAGAGTCCTAAGAAATGTTCTTCTGCACCGGCCAGATGCTGGCACAGTGGCAACATGTGATACTCTGTGAGGCTAACCCACAAGAGAAGGTTCCTGGTTCAAGTTTAGAAACCTCCCTAGGTATGTTGGGCATCAATGTGACCTTGATGCAGGGCTGGCTGAGGCTGGCTGTGGATCATGGCATGGAGATATGCTGCAAGTGCTGTTTCTCTGTCTCTCTGTGTCTTTGTTTCTCTTGCTCATGGAACAAATAAATGAATAAACATAAGAAAATAAATTACCTACACGTTAGCTCCAGTGGTTAAGGATGTCTAGAGAAAGGTATGTGTCCGTGGAGGGCTGAGAAAAGATGGTTCTTTATTCCTTTTCCATACACCCTAGACAAGCCCTGGGGGAGAGCTGACAGAAGCTGATGGCTCGTTTCTATGAGGGAGCTTGGAAACTGAGGAGGAAAAGCTGCTTAGAAGTTAATTTCCTCAACAAAGACTCAGTTCGACAGGAGGGAAAAGTTCTGGTGATCTCTTGCACAGCTTGGTGACTATAGTAAATAATAATATATTGTATATTCAAATTGCTGAAAGGATGGATTTTAAACATCCTTGCCACAAAGAAACAGTAAGTATGTGAGGGGATGGCTCTGCTCATTAGTCTTACTTGGTTATTCCATGATGTACACTTGTATTGAAACCGCTATTTGCCGCATACATATATACAAACTGTAGTTCGAGTCCTGGACCAAGCAGCTTGAGAAACATGCTGGGTGTGTATGCATGCGTGCTCGAGATCCCAAAAAGGAAAAATGGAGAAGGGACTGCAGCATGGCCATCCCCATCAGGGGTGCTTTCTCACTTTCCTTTTCTCTGTCTCTCTCTCCAGTGAGTACAGGCACTCCCTAGCAAATTTAAAAGAGAAGGACCAGAAAAATGAACATAGCCATAAATTGCACCATACAACAATACCAATATGCTATCCCTCAGCAAAGAGCTCAGGAGTCCTGTGTCGGTTTTCCTCCAGATTACAGATTACCCAGACGGAGGTTTCAGGCCTACATGTACATGAATAAGCTGTTCAGTCCAATGTGGGGAGAGAACGGTACTGAGGGCTCATTCTTTATATATATATAAAGGTACTGAGGGCTCATTCTTTATATATATATATATATATAAAGGTACTGAGGGCTCATTCTTTATATATATATATAAAGGTACTGAGGGCTCATTCTTTATATATATATATAAATATATATATATATAATATATATATATAAAGAATATATTCTTTTTTAAAGAATTATTTTTTATTTAACTTTATTTATTATTATCATTATTAGTTTCCAGTTTGATCAGAGAGACACACACAGAGAGAGAGAGAGAGAGGAAGTGAGAAAGCAAGCCACCAGGTCCAAGATTTGAACCGTGGTCGGCCATGTGGGAGTCCAGTGCCTTTAACCACCATGCCACTTGCCGGCCCCAATATATTCTTTATACACACACACACACACACACACACACACACACACATATAAAATCAGCTATTTAATTAGGTTCTTGGCAAAACATGTAGAACACCAATTTGTGAGGATAAACTCCATTTGTAAGGGCAAACACGGATCGCAGGTAGCCTTGGAGCTGAGGAATGGCTTTGATTTTTAGTAAAATTTGCGAGTCCACAGCTTTCTGATCAATCTTGTGCTGCTCTGAAATCTCGTATTTCTCCTTCTTTGTGTCGAAGATCTCACCTTCCTGGTGTCTGGGCTTCCGCAGTTTCTTTTTCTTGAAGTAAGCATTGGTAAGGTGCTTTAGGATTTTTACTTTGCTAGTATCAACTTTCATGGAGGTGGCAATGACAATTTTCTGGTGTGTTCTACGCAGTGGAACTCGATTGAGAACCAGCGGTCCAGTTATAAGTAGTAAGCCGCTGCTCAGCTGCTTCAGAAAATCCATTCTCTTGCCTGTGTGTGTCGAGTGAGGATGATCAGAACAGTCCCAGGAGTGATGCTAGCTCGCAGATTTCTCACACGCTGGCTGAAGGGTTTTTTGCCGTGGCTCAACAGCTTTCGAGGCACATCTTCAGTAGGATAATACCCAGGCATTTTGTGCAGTTTAACCACCTGGGTACTACCACTCTTGTCTCCACCAACTCGTTTTGTGACAGTCGCAAGAACCTTCTCCTTTTTCTTTTCGATCCTGGATTTAGTGGCCGAGTATTTCCTCTTGTACATGGCCTTCCTGGAATACATGGCAGACAGGAGTACCTGCTGATGCCCGGGACTAGGACGGGGTTTCAGGTGCAATGGGGCTTCCCCTTCTTGGGCTTTTTAGCCTTGAGGTTACCCTTTTTAACTTTGTTACTGGCATCAGCCTTCTTGGCTTCAGGTTTCTTCTCCTTAGTATCCTGCTTTGCAGCTTTTTCACCTGCCATTTTGTAAAATGGAAAAGAGAACTAAATTCCCTGTTTCCCCTGAGGGCTCTTTCTATCATCAACCCAACAGAGATTTTTTGGGAGTTATTTTATTTAACTTTATTTATTTATTATTATTATTCAGTTTGATCAGAGAGAGACAGAGAGAGAGCAAGACAGAGAGGGAAAGTGAAAAATAAAGCCACTAGGTCTGGGACTCAAACTGTGGTCGGCCATGTGGGAGTCCAGTGCCTTCAACCACCACGCCACCTGCCAGACCCATCTCCAACAGTTTTAACACCCCTCACTACCCACAGCCCCATTCCTGGATCATGGGCACATATACACCCAGCACACTCAGGGAGGTTCTGAACATAGAGCCTTCTCACATGGATCAGCCTTACAGAGCATTGCGTTTTACCAATGCCTCCCATCTGGCCTCAAAAGTCTTCTAAAAACTGTTCCCCTGGAACCAGCAGATGGCATAATGGCTACATCGCTGGACTCCCATATAGTAGACCCTGGTTCAAGTCTTGGATCCGGTGGCTTAAACTCACGCCGGGCGTGTGTGCATGTGTGCCCAAGATCCCAAGAGGAGAATGGAGGAGAAGGGATTGTGGTGTGGCCATCCCCCAGGGGTGTGTGTGTGTAATTTCTCATTTTCTGTCTCTCTGTCTCTCTCTGTCTTTCTGGTGAGTACACGTGCCCTATAGCAAAAACCTCTCAAAATGAAACAAAACAAAACAAAACTGTTCCCCCTTAATTGCCCCTTATATTTGAGCAAAGCATATTTGCCTGATCGAGCTGGCCAGCTTTTCATATCATTATATTGTATTTTCAATAATAAATGTTTCCATTGCCTGTCCGAGTCACAATTTAACAACTAGTCCGTAGGTGGACCATGGCGTGTCCGTATCATATTGGGTTTCTTTGCCTGGGGAGGGATATTTCTATACATTGGCCATGTAGAGTGCATTCTTTGGTCCAGTGAGATGTGTCAGAGGCAACCAAATTGTTACAGAATGCATTGTTCTGAGTCCTTGACAATCTCTGTGGCTTTGGCTTTGGCCCAGGATGTAGAAAGTGCCAAACTCATTTGAATCCTCTGGGGGTGACAAAGAATAATCCTATATAATTCACTGGCTCATGTGCT